TCAAGTCACTTGCAGAAGCTAGCCCAATGTTATCGATGAGAAGACACGAGTAAAGGGTATCATCACATTGTGAAAACCAACTCTGTCAACTGAAATGATGTACATCATATTCAAAAATCAAATCACTACTTTGAATGATGTGATCCAAAGTGACATTGAGGAGCTTAAGTGCAAGCACAAGGATATCAATATCAAAGAATGGACAGTGCATTTGGGAACAGACACATCCCACACACCTGAATTTATTGTAATCACCACCGAACAACTATATGCAAGGTGCAGTGTATGGAAAATATGCACAGATCGCCAAGAAGGTGCTCAATAAAGGAGATAGACAGACAGATGGCGAGATAGGCAAAAACTCACCAAGGGGAGGATTGCTTGTGAAAGATGGTGCAAATGAGAGAGGGATCTTAGTCAATGATGTGTACAAGCCCACCATTCTTCCTGACTATGGAGGGGATATATTCCAGCACATGGATGCTAAACTTTGTTAGCTTGACATTTGGAATGTCAATAACAAGCTCATCTCACCACAAAATTAGTATACAGAGCTTAGGCATGAAACTTTGGTGATGATCAGAGTGACAAGTAAGACTGACCTGTTCTCAAAAATAATGCTTATGTGGTGCAGGCCTATCAGCTCAACACCCATACAATCTGTGTTTTGAATGAGTTCAAGCTGAAAGCTGAACCACTCAGCTCACAGCCAAATGGATTTGATTACAGCACCTTACAATTCAATTCACATGCATCCAACACGATGGCTTGAGTTCAGCTAGGGAAAAGGACAAGGGTTGATTGAGAATAGTGATGGATGGGTCCAGTTTGGTCCAGTTCTCTGGTAAATTCTTTGAACTGAGAACCGAACTATAGGTTCAGTTCTCTCCACAAACAGAACCGTGGACCGGACCATCAGTTCAGTCCAATAACAGTCCAGTTCCAGTTCATCAAGGGTCCAAACCCTGAACCAGACCATCCAAATCTAAGCCCCATAGAAATCATTTTGGCTGAGATGTAGAGTAGTGCAAGATAGTAGCTATACAACAAAGAGAAAATAAAACTACTCACTATCTTCATCTGCATCATCATGGAGGGCAACAATCAGTGCATCCAAGTGCTGCTTGGCATCACTGGCAGCAGAGATATGACCATTGCAGTACACACTGTTCAACAACTGCAAGCTTTCAAACACATCTGTTTTTAGACGGTTCCGTTGTTTGGTTCCCGTCAATCCACCACTTGAAAAGGCACATTCTGAGGGTGTACCAGAGCCTTGTATGGGCAAGTAGTCCCTGGCCATGCATAAAAGAGTCGGGTACTGTGACTGGTGGTGCTGACAAATTTTCGTTAGTCAACTTGTATGCTTGTGATAGCATAAACACTCACCCCCCACCAACCTACGACATCATCAGTCTGCTTGAGAGGACTTCCAAGATAAGCCATAAGTTTAGCGTGAGGGTTCAGCTTGGTGCAATCTGATGCGAGACGTGCTTGCACAGCTGCAAGCACCCATGAACGGCCATACTGACCATGCAAGTCAGATGTCCCTTGTTCATTGTCAGCCTCTACAGCAACAAAGGTCGGGGCCACATCACTGGTAGTACTCATTGAACTATAGATACACTAATCAGCCTGTGACAACCATGCGAGGAAAAAAATTACCACTTGTTTGAGCCTATCAAGGCCAACATCGAACAACTCCTTGTCCCACTGATGTTCGGCATATGCAATCTTGACATTGGGGTCAAGTGCTTCAAAGCCAGTAACTCATCAGTATCATCATAAGTGAAGAGGTATGAACATACCAAGGCAAATAAAATAAATATCAGTATCCTTCGTTTTGTAATACCACTTCGTGACATTTTCCAAAGCCTTTTGAATGGTGTCACTGACTTTGGAAAATTGTGAAAGCTTGGCCATGTTTTCCCATGACTTGTGTAAAAATTCGAGGGCAGGGATTGTGCACCAAACGGAAGGGTTGCGTGAGCTAGAAAATGTTTGTGTAGCACTTGCTGGTTCCTACCATTGTTGTCAGTGCATGAAGAATATAAAAATGTAGCTAGTCATAATGACAAACCTGTAGAACCTCGTGCATTAACCTTAGCTTTTCCCAGTCCCTTTTGTCGAGTCGAAAATCTGCATAGGACTTTCCTTTGAGGTTCGGAACATCTTCGCTGTCATCAGCAAGCTCAACAAACAGATTAATGCCCTAGCAAGATGTCACAATTAGCTTTAAGTTTAAAAACATAGTATATGAGAGAGACGTACCTTCTGAAGCAAAAGCATGCGTGAGATGAAACTATGCATTGAAGCCCAGTGTGTCCACACCACTGCATCAGCTTGAGGATAGGAACATCTGCCTGCTTGCAACATTGAGTGAAAAAAGCACGAGCCTGCGGTGATGCGCAAATCTGTAATGTGTATTAGTCAGTAGAAATGAGGGCTGCAAGATAGCATACCTGCTTCACCAACACTAGTGCCTTTTCGATTGTGTCCCCAACTCCAAATTCCTCGTCATTGTTGTCATCCTCCTCCTGGTCACCCTTGACATCAACATCCTCCATGTCAGCCTCTAAAGCATCCAGATCGACATCTTTACCTTCCAGCTGAGCAAGTTTAAATGCCGCCTTGATCTTTTTGAGAAGTTGGCGAGCTGATGTCGGTGAGACAGTAGTGACAAAACACCCGGCAGTGAGGTTGATGGTATGTTCCATACATCTGTTCAAACAGTGAGATGTGCAAACATATAGATGCATATCACGGTGAACATACCTGACATGACCTTGAACAGGATCCCACATTGTCGCACCAGCATCCTTATCAGCGTTGATGGTATCAGCAAAGGCAGCAAGGCACGTGTCGTTACTCAATGCATTATCACAAGTAAACCAGCCAACCTGGTTGTTATTTAGTATTACATAGATTAAAAACAAATGAAAACTTACTTTTGGACGAAGACCGTACCAGTCCACTGTGTGCACAAGTAAAGTAGCCATGTTTGCTCCAGTATGATGTCCTTTGATGGGCAAAAAGGCCAGCTGCTTGGTTTGAAGTTTCCAGTCGTTAGGTTTATCTGGTTGTGCATGGATGTAATGACCAGTAACAGACAAAAATGGATTGCCGGGGTCGGATGTCCAAGCATTGAATGTGAATGAAACCTTTCCAGGTAGGTCCTGCAGCAAGTACACTTTAAGATGGTAGATATCACAAAGAGAAAAGAACAACACCCACCTTGAGAATGTCTTGCAGATATGCTTCAGTAGCTGCTGCTTTCTTCATGATTTCCTGGCGAACAGCCTTATGGTGTGGAATGTCGTTGTCGGACAAAAATGGTCAGAGGTAAGTTAGTAGGTGACGGAATGGGCCTTTTTCCATGAGTTGGAATGCCTTGTCCTCGCACACAATCAACTCCACGACATAGTCAAGAAGGCCGCTGGTTGTAAAAGCAGGTGCGCGTGGCTGATGGATTATGATCCCATCAAGACTTCATTGACTGAAATAAATGTAAGTCAATGAAGTCAAATGTTAGTGCGAACAGGATCAAACATACCTGTTGAGGGTTTCAGTCGTATCAGACTTTGGACATGCCCTTTCGTTCAAGGGAATGTCCAATTTCTTGCAATTTTCTTCATAAATCTTGATATGGTCGGGATGCCTGTATTCTGTCGTTAGCGTGAATACATTGATCACTGATGCAGAAAACTTGCCTTGAGATATGAGTACGGAGGGTTGACATGCTGCCCTTGAAGAAGCATTGTCTAGCGGCAACACCGTTCTTTCTAGTGAATGCAGTTTTAGTTTTAGTATTTCAAACAAAAATTGGAGGCTTACTGGCAGACTGTGCACATGTGTCCTGACTCAACAAGCCCAGTATGTGGGTCTACATAATCATCTTTCTTGATAAAGATGGTACAAACATCTGTGGTTCATTCAGCCTTAGGACAGTGTTACAAGAACATCTAGATGCTTGGGCCCCTACCATTTTTCTCCTAATCCTCCTCGTATCAGCCCTCGCGTCATACCCTTACCCCGACCTTACCCTTGTCATCCTTGTCATCCTCGCATTCCCTTTCGCTCTCTACCTGTCGCTTCAGCAGAGCCAGTACATCTGGCCGGATCCTTTCGCTGACGAAGCATATCCATGCTCCGTTCCACCACCTGACTGATCCTGTAGACAGTCCCCTTGCCCTTACCGTCTGGACGGTGACCTATGATATGATGCACCACGCATCCCCTTTGCCCTGTTTCCTTTCTTGATCTCTGACTCGGTGCGCAGTCACACATGCCACCTATACTTAGCTCCGCAGTTGCACGATTGTGCCCCTGCACGTTTCACTTCTTGTTTTGACCTTTGACTCACTTTCTTATCTAGCACGTTCTGGTTCACCCGTGTCTCACCCCGAACGTGCCTTCCTCTTATGGTTATGCCCTTTACCGATTACTTCACTTGGTAGTACGAGTTATCATCCACTAATACGCTTCCTATCCCTTATATAAACTCACTACCATGTACCATATTCCTTAACTTGAATCTACTTGGTTCTTGACCTCCTACTCTCACCAGAGTGATCCTTTCTGCCTAGCCAGCAGTCTATATTCTATCTTCTTATCTGCTCTTCGCAGATAAGCCTATAGTCTCGACCTTTACTCGTTGACTTTCGTCAACGAGCAAAGCCCCTGTTAACTAGTCGGACTTCCGTCCTTCTAATTAACGACGATCTTACGATTAACCTTTGGGTGTCATAAGCTTTGGCCGATATAGCTTATCGTCTTGCACCCTGCTTGACATAAGCTACCCGATTTGGACATAGGCGTCAAATCTTACTTGCTGAAGCCTCACCAAGTAAGACCCCTAACCTTGGGCCAGCCCAAGGACGTCCTCGACCATTGACGACACACACTCTGTTTGAGCATCGCCAACAGATACCATCCAAGTCGTAACAGACAGCAAGTCGAACCCTAGTTTGTACATGAGAAAACTGTGGACGAAAGTAATGCTAGTGACTCACCTTACGGTCTGCATCTCCCATAGCTTTTGTGGATGCATATTCATGCTCGACATCATCCTCAGCTTCGGTGTCACCACCTACTGCATCAAGATCAGTACCACCAATATCTACATCACCGTCGGATTCTCCATCACAATTAGAAGTAGTAGGGCTTGCAATAATCTTGCGTGTGACCTGTCATCTGGTAAGATCATTGGCAGCTTTTCGTTTACCTTGCGCAGTACTGGATGATGCAACATTGTCGGGATCAAGAATCCTCGTTGAAGGGCAAGGTGCACGAGTAGAACGATGGGCACCAGCTATGATAGCCGCAGGGGGAGCAGCACCAGTGAAGAATGGGTGGATTGTTGATGAGGAGGGGATAGGCTGATCATCGTCCGCATCATTGTACCATACCATTTCGGACACATCTTTCAGCTTGCCGTTTGGGCCAACAGCGCTGTCAGACATCATGAGATGTGTACAGTCAATGAGAAGTCAGTTTGCCAGCTAATATACCTTGTACGTCAAATAGTGCACACATGTTATGGAAATGGAGGCGATGGGTTCAAGCCTGTATCATTTGATGATAGGTCAGGAAATGTCTGTATAATTGCAACAAATTACATGAGTCGCCAATTGAGAATCGAACATAACTTGATGGAGTGATTCTGAAACATTATGTCATCAAGGATGCGTGCCACTGATTGATAGTAAAGACTGACGAGCAAAATAAGTTGAGCTTGTTACCGCAGTCGACAGAGTGTCAAGCAAATCGAACATCACTTGATCGAGTGATTCTGAAACATTGTGTCGTCAAGGGGATACAACTAATATTAGACTACAACATACTGCTTTCAGATCTTCTCTTCCGGTCTGATATATCTCCGTGGTTCAAACCTGTTTGGACCTGTTTGAACAGGTTCAGCAATTCCTATAGGTCATTGAACCAAGAACTAGACTGACAGTTCGGTTCCTCTCATTGCCTGAACTTTGAACTGGACTCGGCCACTACTAATTGAGAAGGAAAGGGACTCTTGAAAGTGAGGAAGAGTAGCAATAAATCACACTATGAGTAGTCTGAGGATAACATATGAGAGTGTGTACATATAGCAATAAAGTTTTGAAAAGAACATTGGGTTATAAAAGGTCTGTAAAATTCTTGTAGCATAGATAGAATAAGGAAGTTGTCAGACGGAATTGAACATGTGACCAAATAACACAGGTAGTGGGTGTTGCCACTTCAGCTGGCACTATAGCTTATAGTCTAATGGTTTGTGTGTTTGAACAGTGAATGCTGGTTGACAATAAGCTCTCGAGTTCAAACCTACCAAGCTACATTTTAAATAATTAGTATAATTCTTTTCTCAGCCACAATGCCACTTATAGGCCTGTTTCCCAGCTCTTACACAGCTCTAAACAAAACCTTTCCAAGAGATAGTGAGAAAACTATAGTATAAATATATCTCAGGGCTAGTCTACACCCTAACCACTTTTGGGCTCTATAAGAGGTTTTCAGCAGTTGGCAGCATACATCAAAATTCCCCACTCCTATGTGATGTACGTCAAACTGGTCACGAGTCTATGGTGCAGTTCACTTATGTGCCACTACTTTGATGCAAATTTTTAGCACTGTGAGAAAAAGTTCCAGGAACTTTCTGTCTTGTAAAAATGTTTAGATTGATGATAGGAATAAATCCTCAAGAGTGGTTGTTCATTAGATGAAATCTGAGTGAGATAAAATTTTGGTCATGGCTCAAATTGGCAGTGAGGCTAATATACCCACAATAATGGGGTAAAACAAGTCAAAAAGTCCCAAAATCCCCTCATGTTTATGCTAATGCAATACCAAATACTAAGGCTATATATGAACTGGCAAAATTCACCAAATCAAAATTCAAAATTCAGAATTTGCTGTCATGTGACACACAAAGGGTGATCCCAGATTCCTCGGCTTGTATCGTTACAAAGTCTACATGATCATGGCTATATATACTCGCAGAGATACATACTCTTTCAAATCTGCCTACAGTCCTAGACCTAGAACTATGTCTCATAGTGATACTTCTGTTGAATCTACTCGTTCTTGCCGATCCTAAGGATCTGTCAACATTCAAGGATCAACAGTAGAGAGAACATGTAAAATACCTGCACATTGGACGATAGATGAAGAACAGGCCTTGATTAATTACCTCCTGAATCATAAATCTGAAGCTGGTGATGGTCTAAACTTCAAGATGACCACTTTTCAAGGAGCTGCTGAACACATCAAGACTACCTTCACCCGACAGCACAGTGGAGAAAAGACTGCTGAATCCTGCAAGACAAAGTGGGGCAATGTATTTTTGAACAAGATCTAATACTTTTTATTAATTTCTAATGTTATCTATCTATAGCTAAAGTCAGCTTATGGTGTTGTTATCAACATCAAGAAGACATCAGGCTTCTCATGGAGTGAGGAACATGGAGCCAGAATTACAGATGAGCATGGAGATACTTGGGAGAGATATGCCAAGGTATGTAGTACTATTATATCAAACAAAAAGTCTACTGATTTTCTTTAACTTCAGAGCCACTCTGGTGCAGTGTCATACAAGAATAAAGGGTTCCCACACTTTGAGGTTCTTGACCAGATGATACCTCAGGAGCTGATCTCCGCCAAAGGAAAGTACACCACTCATCAGCCAAAGGCTAGGGCTGTTGCCAGTCCTTCCCCATCGGAATCATCATCTTCCATGATGCTTCCCCCACCATCTACTCCTACCGCCACCTCCAGTCATCCTACCAGTCAGGATATCACTATGGGTCCTCCATCACCACCAGTGACAGGACTGGGTACCAACTTTATGTCACCACCCTCCTCCTCACTATCTTCACCCTCTGTACCATCATATTATGCTACAAGCAACTCAGGCTCAGGACTGACAAGCATCAGCTGGAGCAAGCGCAAATCCAATGCGCTGAGTGAAGGAGACCAATCCTGCTCTAAGTGAAACTGGCCTCCCTTAGTAACTGCAATAGCCCAGCAGGAGGGTAGTGCAGTGCTTACATCAATCACAGGGACTCTTCCTCAATTTGTCTAAAATCTAACCATTTCTCCTCCTGACTGTCCTCCTGTCACTGACCTTGGGCACACAGTCAATCTGCTTGCTCATACTTGATGGTTTAACTCCAGATGATGTTGTGATCCTCATGGATTACTTATCATCAAACTTGAATCAGGTGATAGTATTTTCAAACATCAGTAATGCAGAATATAGGGTATTATGGTTGCAAAGGAAGCTCTCTTACATTTGCACAAACAATAACAATTTGTAGACTTGTAGTGTGTTATTCCACTTTTCAAGACCTATGTTGCTTCCTCTTTGTTAAACATGCACTGATGAATGAATTTTGGTATCTGGTATATAACTACATTGGTGCGGGTACTGCCAATCCACGATGTGCTTGTTCTTCTATGTAATCTGCCAATATTTCAGCAGCTATCTCATCACAATGAATATCAGCTCTTCTCCTCTCTGCAGCTCCTGCAGGTCCACCAGCCAGCTCCCCCTGCACCACTACATCACCCACATCATCATCAGCAAGTATTGGATCAGCAAGATCACCATGGGGAAAATCTTGTTCGAGTAATCAGGGTCACAGCAGCGAATGAAATTGTGCAATGCGCAGAGTGCCATTAGTAGTAGTGCTTGGATATCCATGGAATATTCCAGAGGGAGTTGCAAGATGTGCCATTGGCACTTCATTACCCCAAAAATGTGTTCAATTATGTTGTGAAGTGAGGCGTGTTGAAGGTTGAAGAGTTCTTTTGCATTCTGTGGGCTTAGATGTGCATCAGATGTGAATAGTTACAAAAAATAAAATAAATAAAAAACAAATGTAAGAGATGCCTGATGCCACTCTTTGAGATGATAACATGCACCCCTATAAGGAACCAGTAGCGCATCACATGTTCCAAATCCTGCATCTTCAAGGAGGTATCTTCCATCGGAAATCCATAAGTCATGCTGGCGGGCATCGTTCTAAAGTGCAGCATTGGCAGATGAGCAATCACAGCTGCAAAGTGAGTAGATAAACAAGAAATCAAAATCACATATAAAAAGACATTTTTGAGAAATAGAACTCTTGCAATTATGCATGAAGGCTTGATCAGGAAGTGATGTGAATGCACATATGTGGGTTCCATCAACAGCTCCAATACATTTGTTGAAAAATCAGAAACGAGGGTCATCACGAATCAACGGAGGGATTGGGGAAATGCTTGTGGGGAATTGAATTTGAGAGGAATAGAAAGGGTCATTTGAAAAGAATACTAGTACATGCTTGAAGTACCTGATAATCGCACAAATTAGGATACAATGTTATTGAATGAGTAGTTTACTTACCTTAATTGTGTCAGAGGACCATTGGAAGCACTCACCAACATGGTGAGTTGAGAGACCAGTCACACACATATACAAGAAGATGGCCAGCTGTTCCTCAACTGCTACACCATTGCGAGATAGTGCAAATCCATTGGCCTTCAGATGTTCCAACAGCTCTTCAAATATTCCCAAGCTGACACCTAGATTATTTCTGATTCTGTCTGGGTGACCGGTCATCAGTTCAAGAACCCAAGCTTGACCACTTAAGGCTGAAATGTGGTATGGGATGGTAGTGTGTGGAGTTAAGAATAATTGGTAGTATAAGGCTGAGATATAAGCTACAATGGATGCAAGAAGCACGAGGTAGTGATGCCAATAGAGATCTTGGTTGTTTTGCGGACGCAAAGCGTGAGTTTGTTCAACTGTTGCGTGGTAATGGCATGCATACTATAGTATGTATTGATATCAGGTGTAAGTCAAGGAATCCAGGATTACCCTTTGTGTGTCACATGACAGCAAATTCTGAATTTTGAATTTTGATTTGGCGAATTTTGCCTTTCCATACATAGCCTTAGTAAATTTCTGAGTTCTCGAGCAAATTTTTCATGTCTTTTATGGAAAGCCTAACGTTCGTGCTCTGTTACTTGGTGTGACATGCTCCAAATAAGGCAGTCACATAATTGGGACACCGTGCACCCGCTATCTTTTTTTGTGTATTCAGCTATCACACACCAAAACCAATCAATCCTCGTTTCATTCATAGTATTGATATCAAGTGAGACGTATACGATGGCTACGTGTTTGTTTCCAAGAAGAAAGTACCCAGTCCCAGTTCCAAGAAGAAAGTTCACCATCTGCCTAAGCCTCAAGCCCATCTTCTCCATCTGCGCAAGCCTCTAGCCCATCTTCTTCTTCCCCACTCGCATAAGCCTTTAGCCCAAATGCTGGCCATTTGCAGTACTTGTTGCAAATATGCTCCTTCTCAAACTGACTCACGGTCGTCTCGATGTTTCCATCCCCGAAAATATCAAGGTGGCCATCACTGATGGATCTATCTGATGTGTCAGATCAACATAAGAAGCCCAACACTCAAGCAACTCACGGATGTGTCAGGATTTGAGGGTCTGTTAGCAGTGTTGTACTCCCTAATTTGAAAGGTATTGTGTCAGTCTCAGAGCGCACACTGGTACATTGTTTGCGCACCTTGATAATCAGATATAAATGCCAATTTACCAGTCCTGGCATATTGTATGTGCTGCATGAATGAAAAGAACACCGCCAAGTCATAGCCGTACTCGTCATAATCAATCAAAGGGTTGGCATCCATATTGTGAATGAATTTGATGAAGTCTTCTCCGTCGCTGTCAATGAACTCTTCAAGAAGAAAGACAGGCATGTGTGGACCCAGTCTTGCCTCCAGGTTTTCTATCACCATAAGCCAGTGCGAGCCCACCTTCTACAAAACGAACTCGTGGAATTGGGAATGGGGGTGGTTCAGATGAAGATGCAACACAACTGATCAATGAAGTTGTAGGTTAGCGTTAACAAGGACTTCGCCCAGTACAAAATGTTGGCCTCCTTAAAGAGCCTGGATATTTCATCAACGAGTGAATAACGGGCAATCTTGTATGGTCCCGTCGTGGTGGTGGGTGTCGCGAATACCTTATGGTAGGGTCGTTTAACAACAATCTTATCGTGCGCAACAGAACCGGGGCCTTTCTTTGGCGGGGCCATCAGCGTGAGCCATCCTGTGTGAGCAGTTTTGAAGCCTCCGACTTTAATCAGGCCTTGAGGTGATGTATCGACAATCAGCTCACCCATGGACCACTCAGCAGTGTCCACGGAAAAGGAATGGTACTTGTCCAGTAAGAGGTCTGTTATGGGGCGGGAAGGGACTAGGTAGAAGTGGATCCTCTCGCTCTGTCGTCCAAAGACTAAAAATCAAATAAGTCCTGTTGCTAGCGCCATAAATATAACAACCATACCTTGCTTCATGTCTAAGTTAGTGCCTCCGCCAATCCTCAAAACTTCCTTCAGTTGGTCATGATCGGGTGAACAGCCTGAGAGAGCTGCAGGTGCAACATCTCTCTTTCGAGGAGGAGACGGAATATCAAAGCTGCCAGAGCTGTGAGTGTGTTGATGGGATCGCTTGGTGGAGGTAGTGACAGTGGTTGTAGGCAAAATATTGCTTGGGACGTTGTCAGAGGTGGTGGTGCCATCATTGGTTGGTGCTGTATCAAGCTCACTCTCCAAGTCCACTGATGGTCGTACTGAAGAGGGGACTTGGGGGGTGATAACTTTGCGAGCAGCACGATTGGTTGGCACTGTATCAAGCTCGCTCTCCAAGTCCACTGAGGATTGTACTGAAGAGGGGACTTGGGGGGTGATAACTTTGTGAGCAGCACATTGACCGATACGAGCAGCATTCTAAATAGTGAAATAATGTTAGTTTGGCAAACAGGTGAGGTAAACACATACCATTTCAGCGTCTTCCCGCCAGTTCTCGTATTCAATCCACTGAGTCTCAGGAACAATGACCATTAGCGTGAAATTTTTTGATTTGAATGTTGTGGTCTTTGAGCCCTTGCAGGACGGCTGCTGACATTGATCGTAGAAGTAAGCAACCGACCGTGGGTGATTGGAGAGATCCACCCATCCAGAATCTCGCACTATAAACTCATTCACCCGCCAGAGAAATCCACCACCAAAAACATGTAACTTGGGCACGATAGTGTCCAATGCAAGCTCGATCAGCCCTGGCGCATCAATCTGTGCATCAATGCCCTTCTTCCCCTCACATATATTCTAAGCAAAGATGTCAGTCGCCACCAAGTTCAATAATATAGCGCATACATACCCCAATGGGAACCCCGCGTTTTTTGCGACCTCCGCCTCCATGAACTGCACTAATTTCGATTAAGATGGTCTCTGCTGGAGGTGTGGCATAAGATATCTTGGCCCAGCGTTTGCGCTCAGTAGCATATAGTGCATGTTGAGACGAGTATCCAATTGGACCATTTGATGAACCTGACAGAATTAGAGATGAGTGGGAGGATCACGATGCACTAAACAAGAGAGAATCATCTAACCTTGCCCAGGCCACGGTGGACCAGTTGACTGTGATGAGCCTTGCCATGATGAGCCTTGTGATGAGCCTTGCCATGATGAGCCTTGCCACGATGTAGGTATCATGATGTCTGGCCCTGCAGTGCGATGAGGCATTGCCACCACAGGCGGAGGGTTGATCATTACTGTTGTTGTGTGGATTAGCAGAGGGACTCTGAACATATAATATACTCACATTTCCGTTGTGCTGCATTCACCGACTGTTGAATTGCATGCATATCAGGAGCGACCCAGTCGTTAATTGAACCCTGCGCACTGGCAAATGGATGCAGCTGCTCGGCTCGGCGAGTGGGTCTCACTGAGGTCGCTGGGTTCTTCTTGTAATGTGAGTAGCAGGGGGCACACACATTACGCCCAGGTTGTCCTGGCTCGATGGTAGCCACATAGAAACATGGGTCACCTTTCCTGATCTTGGCCCTGCAAACAGGACGGTCACAGATGTGATCCTCTTTGGCGTAGGCGTCCTCAGTGAATTGAGAAACGATCTCGTACTCTGCCATTGCAGTCTGTAATAATCTGCTGTCAATTCATCACCTTCAATATATATATCATCGGGAGGTTTACCAGGTCATACACGAGCGCCAGAACAAGGTCATACATGACCGTAACACACGCAGAGAACACATTGGGAGGTTTGCAGATGACATGAGTCGCCAGAACACTTTGGTCAGAGTTGATGCAACTGCGAATCTTGCTTAACACTCTTATCGAGGAGCTAGAAGTGGCTACACATCAGCTCATGAGCCTTGGAAAGAAATGATGGCGAGCCAGGTGTACTTACTTGATAGGACTACTTGGAACAAAAGGGTGCTAATTCCTTGCGAGCCTGAATGTTGGATGATCCATATAGCTAACTGGGGGCCATTAGTCGAGGATACAATTGTGGATTTGAAGTAAATGACTTGCCCATTGGTGGAGGTGGAGGAGATGATTCTTTGAGTCGGTGTTAGTCAAGGAGGCAATTCTGGATTTGAAGTAAACAACTTACCCAGTCCCCAGTCCGAGTATGCAACTCTCTACAGATGGGCAAGACAAAGGGGGATGATACGAGTCGGAGTGTTTGCCGGTCCAGCAAATGACTTACCCACTTAACAGTTTGAGCGTGAGGAATTTGAAGTAAGCGACTTACCCAGTCCCTGGTCTGAGTATGCGACTCTCTACAGATGGGCAAGACAAAGGGGGATGATACAAGTCGGAGTGTTTGCTGGTCCTTGGCAGCTGCGTGGTGTACTCAAACTGAGCAAGACTAATCAGAGGATGAGTATCACTGTTTGTGTACCTCTTACAAAACCAATTTGAGTCATTATCGCCGGCTGCCAGTTGCATAGCCTATCAACACGTAAAAGTACGCAAGTATCAGCTACCAGCTGCATAGCCCATCAACATGTAAAGGTACGCAAGGATGATTGATGTGCTATCAGTGTTCCTGACAAGCGGAACACCACCCATTCGATATCAGTGTTCCTGGCAAGTGGAACACCACCCATTCGATATGAGTCCTGTGGCTCAGTCACATTATAAATATCAACACCTATGTGACAGCCATTACGGTTATTCCATGCCAAACTCATGGAAACCCACTCGTGAGCAGCCACACTTTCACTATAACTTTCCTCCCAGTGTTCTGATCTTCATGCAGCTCCGTTGGAGCTAATTGCACCACATATTCTGCGCATGTGGAAAGCACGCCAAACCGACCGTCAGATTGTCCTTGAGCTGCAGAAGCACATCGACACAAGTCACTATGGCATCGGGTAAGTCACAGGGTTATTATTCCTCACCCATAATGTAATGTTGAACGCTAGACGTACCAAATTTCTCGAAATCTGCCAAGCAATGGGCCTTCACCGGACCCGCCAGCAAGCTCATACTGTTGAGTCAATTCGCAATGCAATGGTTGAGTTATGTGCAATCTATCCAAATGCGGGTGCACGTGAAATGGCAAGTTTGCTGTTTCATGAGAAGGATATGAGTGTGGCTAGGTGATATGTCTGTGCTGACTGTACTGTGTCAGTTCGCTGACTCTTTTTCATCTTAGGAGTGTCCTAGTATCATATTTTGCTAGGTTTGAACCTGGTCTTGTCCGCGAGCATAAGGCACGTCGCCTTCGAAGAAGGCGATTCTGGGCCGTGGGCATAAATGACCTGTTTGCAGTCGACCAGCATGATAAATGGCTCAAGTTTGGTCTGGGGCTGCACACGGGTATTGAGCCATTCTCTGGCCGAATTATGTGGATCCGAGTCTGGCATTCTAACAGAAATCCACAGTTGATTCTTAGCTACTATCTTGACACAATCGAGGAACTTGGCCATAAGTTAATACATATCATTCATGACACCCAGGAGCCTCACTCATTTCATAGATATGCCTATGGTCACACAAAGTGACCCAGGTTCTGAAAACTTTGGCATTGCAAATGCTCACACGATGTTACGACAATGGCATGACCTGGATTTGCACGGCACGCTCCAACATCGCTGGATACGCAACAAGAAGAATGTCATGCCAGAGATCACGTGGTCTCAACTGCGGCGCTGTTTCACCCCATGTTACAAGAACATCTAGATGCTTGGGCCCCTACTATTTTTCTCCTAATCCTCCTAGTATCAGCCCTCGCGTCATACCCTTACCCCGACCTTACCCTTGTCATCCTTGTCATCCTCGCATTCCCCTTCGCTCTCTACCTGTCGCTTCAGCAGAGCCAGTACATCTGGCCGGATCCTTTCGCTGATGAAGCATACCCATGCTCCGTTTCACCACCTGACTGATCCTGTGGACAGTCCCCTTGCCCTTACCGTCTGGACGGTAACCTATGATATGATGCATGATGCATCCCCTTTGCCCTGATTACCTTTCTTGATCTCTGACTCGGTGCGCAGTCGCACATGCGACTTATACTTAGATCCGCAGCTGCACGATCGTGCCCCTGCGTGTTTCACTTCTTATTCCGATCTTTGACTCACTTTCTTATCTGCACGTTCAGAGCTCGCCCGTGTCTCACCTCGAACGTGCCTTCCTTTTATGGTCATACCCTTTCCTGTTTACTTCTCTTGGTAGTACAAGTTATCATCCACTAATACGCTTCCTGTCCTCTATATAAACTCGCTACCATGTAACCTATTCCTTAACTTGAATCTACTTGGTTCTTGACCTCCTACTCTCACCAGAGTGATCCTTCTGCCTCGCCAGCAGTCTATATTCTATCTTCTTATCTGCTCTTCGCGGATAAGCCTATAGTCTCGACCTTTACTCATCGACTTCGTCGACGAGCAAAGCCCCTGTTGACTAGTTGGACTTCTGTCCTTCTAATTAACGACAATCCTTACGATTAACCTTCGGGTGTCGTAAGCCTAGGCCGATATAGCTTATTGTCTCGCACCCGTGTGACATAAGCTACCCGATTTGGACATAGGCGTTAAATCGTACTTGCCGAAGACACGCCAAGTACGACCCCTAACCTTGGGCTAGCCCAAGGACGTCCTCGACCATTGACGACACACGCTCTGTTTGAGCGTCGCCAACAGATACCATCCAAGTTGTAACACCCCAGGGTTCAAAAGTCTACTGGATCATGGCGTCAACACAGGCTGGTATAATACTAACAACACTGTTCAAGTGTAAGTCATGTTTTCGGGCTTCATCTCATCACTAGCAGCTCAAATCTTCATTTCAGACTAGTTTTCTGTTGGGTCTTTATCCCGTGGCTCCAGCAGGAGCTAAATGCTTATCGAGATTGCATCAACAACTCCGCAAAACGGCGTGACCACAATAAGGTACGTTTTCTGGAATACCATCGTATTATTGATCCTCACATTGTTTATGTTTTCATTCAGATTCTCCCGCATGGCGTCCCAAATCTCATCTACGAGGCAGCTGAAGACTTCAGGGCCTTAGATTTCAAGGTTCGTACTAATGTATCACTACTACTGTCAACAGTATTCTAATATTGATCCCATGTACAGATCAAACTCGAACGAGAGGCCCTAGGCCATGTACGAAGTGCCTACATCAAGCCTTCACATCCAGTATTTGATCTGGTCCCTCAGGCGTTTGGGGAATACATTGCGCGACTCTATGATGGACTGGGTCGCCCAGCAGTTACACGACAATCAGCTTGGGATATTTATCTCCAGCTGTTGGACTTATTGCAGCGCGCTGATGAGCTGCCGCCACAGATTGTACTCCTAGACAGCAGCGAAGATGAAGAAGTTGTCTCGCTTTTGGACAATTACGAGGACTTACTTGCATCCAACGACGCATATTATATGGGGGGTGTGAACTGAGGACTCGGCATGGGTAAGTTGCCATTTATCATGCTCCATGTTGGAAACATGAAAATTTTCAGATATCGAACACCATTGTCAATTGGACAGTTTCGAACGTGATGATGAACCGGAATTGACAGGAGTGGAGGAAGGCTTTGGACTGGATGATGCTGGCTTAGTTGTCTCGGAGTTCTCAGATCGTGAAGATGATGATGGTTCCGCAGACGAATGGTAATTGTCTCATTCATCTCAGTATACTAGTTAGATTTCTTGTACAATTCAGATGCACACTTGTTTGCATTCCGAACCACATCAGCTTGGGGCGATAAAACATGAAAACATATCCCCAGCGGTGTACAGGGTCCTATGCCCTTAAATGGATTGCGTGACACTGATTTGGAGCACGGACGCTAGGCTTTCCATACTATCACTCCGGGTAATCTGCAACATTTTCAGCAAATCTTTTGTAGCTCATCAACCACTTCATATTATCTTCCACGAATTTAGAGTGTTGTTGTAGATTCGTACCGCCTCTATATAGATCTCATTTTTCCTGATTTTTAGGATGTTGTGGTGTGGTGTCGGATGAAAGCTGAGAAAATTCAGGGTCTGACTGCTAATCTGCAAAATATGGTCACGTCGAGTCACACCTCGGCATAGCACCGGCACAGTCAACTTTGACTCTTCGCACTGCGCAAGTGCTCTCGATCTGTTGGCGTTGAGTACTGAGTCGTCAAACTGGAAGCTTGGTCTGGAATACAGCAATATATTGTCATCAACCATTATGCATCATGATCCATGTAATTATTATTGTGAGTGTACTGCCATTGATATGGTCCTGAATAAGGTGACTCCTGCCATCATACATCTGTACCTCAGCACCAACTCGAAATTCCCCTCTGTTACCAGCTGCTGGCACAAATTGGGAATGGGTGGAGGCACATACCTGCTGAGTGAGGGAAGATCTATGTGTGACATCGAGGGTTGAGGGATAGGCTGTGGTTGATAGGTGCCAAATGGTGCGTGCATTGAATTTTGATGAATTGGCGTGTCTTGTGGTACTGACTCAGTAGTGTTATTGCCGATTTCAACATGCCGCCTGTTACAAGAACATCTAGACGCTTGGGCCCCTACCATTTTTCTTCTGATCCTCCTCGTATCAGCCCTTGCATCATACCCTTACCCCGACCTTACCCTGGTCATCCTTGTCATTCTCGCATTCCCTTTCGCTCTCTACCTGTCGCTTCAGCAGAGCCAGTACATCTGGCCGGATCCTTTCGCTGACGAAGCATACCCATGCTCCGTTCCACCACCTGACTGATCCTGTGGACAGTCCCCTTTGCCCTTACCGTCCGGACGGTAACCTATGATATGATGCACGACGCATCCCCTTCGCCCTGTTTCCTTTCTTGATCTCTGACTCGATGCGCAGTCGCACATGTGACTTATACTTAGCTCTGCAGCTGCACGATTGTGCCCCTGCGCGTTTCACTTCTTATTCTGACTTTTGACTCACCTTCTTATCTGCACGTTCAGGATTCACTCGTGCCTCACCTCGAACGTGCCTGCCTTTTATGGTTATCCCCTTTACCAGTTACCTCTCTTGGTAGTACGAGTTATCACCCACTAATACGCTTCCTGTCCTCTATATAAAACTCGCTACCATGTACTATATTCCCTAACTTGAATCTACTTGGTTCTTGACCTCCTACTCTCACCAGAGTGATCCTTTCTGCCTGTCACGAGTACCTTTAACAAACCATTATTCTTTCCTGAATCTTCCTAAGCGCCAATACACAGCGTCTAAGTCAAACCCTAACCCTACCCTGAAAGCATCTATCATTCCCGAAATACCTTTAGCGCCCACGACACGTGTCTTCGATGTGACTGATGAAGAAGACGAGTTCTTTGATTGTGAATAGATTAGATAAGATAAGATATGGTCACGTGATGCTTCTTTAATATTCTACGATGTTCTATGGTACAATTCCCTTTCTCTTTTTATGATTGGCTAGTAGTTGTAACTCAGTTTCAATCTCCGTCTCAATAGTTGTATATAGGTAGCATGTCTTGGTCGATAGTTCCTTAGTTCAAACCTCTTGTATCTACAACTGTAGCAATCCAAGACGTACTTGCTCCTCTCTCTAGTCCAATAACCTTAGATCGAGTCCTAGTCTCTGCCCAAGCGTTTATTCGTTATTTGGGTTGTGACATTAGGTTTGAACTATAGGAGACTCCGACTCTTTGCACACCGCTCGCACACCTCTCATCATCATTACATGTTTTCCATTGCCCGACCTAAACAGTCGCAATCATTTTCTGAAACCTATCCTTTTGCTCACTTGAGCTTTTCTACGAATAGCCTTTATTAGTTAGTAGTCCTATACCAGGCCCTGCCTTACATTGCAGCCGCCAGTATACGGAGGTGTTGACGACATTAGGCGTCTCGCTACAACTTTGAGTGCTGGCCCAAGACCCTGCCTGCTCAACGTTACTATAATTGCTTTCATACCTATACCTTTCTTCATACATACGTAGAACCTTTCGTTAAGTCTAGTGGAACTGTCGCATCTGCGGATAGTCCTACCATCGTTACCACGAGGATTTAGATACGGGATTCTAGTGAGACTCGCACTTGTAAGCTTCGGCTGGAAGAGTGATAACTTGTCCTAGACCTGTACCCTTTCGGTGACTGAGAAGTAGCACACACGAAGCACACAGTGTTTTTTCCACTTAACAAAGCGTAGCTTTACGTACTCCTTTCTAGTTAGTAATTAGGGAAGTGTCAGTCGGGTTGACTAAAGAACCCTTTGACCCTAAAGGATGAGGTTGATCCAGTTAGTACTGGGGACCCCTTTAGCTTTCCATTTACGTATCCTTTTTTCCCTCTCCCCTTTCATCATCTTTCCTATCCGGAAGAGCCGTTACGACCCGCTCTTCAACAGTCATTAGTGAATCGGATTCCAGAACGCACCTGGCACTATGGCTGAAGTCAACGAAACAGAAATGGGACCGGAGAACCCTCAAGAACCCCAAGAGGAACCGGGACCACAAGGCATTGCTATGCCAATAGAGTTCACCAATTACGTACAGAGTGCTATTCAAATGGCAACCCACGAACTGTACGTAAGGACACAAGAACTCCTTAACCACAACAACACTCTTTGAGCACAGAATGCGACTCAAGAGCTTCAACTCAGGACCCAGAACTCGCAAATAGAGGAACTGAAGAAGAAGCTGGAGAGATTCGCACAATCCCCAAATACTTCGCAAGTCAAATTGTCGAAGCCCACAGAATTCACTGGAGACAAAGATTCGATCTCCATAGAAGTCTACACCACTCAGTTGGCATTATACATGTCACAGTGGCCGTTAATCACAGACAGGCAGAAGATTACAACTGCTCTGTCTTTCCTCAAAGGATCTGCTGCTAAATGGGCGCAGAAATATGTCATTGAGCTTGATTCCAAGCCAATATCCTTTGAAGATTGGACGAAAGAATTTGAGACCATGTGGGGCCAAGACGACAGAGAAGGAAAGGCTATCAGGGAGTTGGAAACCCTGAAGCAAGGATCTTCATCAGTGCCCGAATACGCAGCAGCTTTCAAGCAGAAAGCTGCACTTACCAAATACTCCGACTACGACCTCCGCCTCAAATTCCGATCTGGCCTACAAACCCGGATCAAGGAGCAACTCGCTCATATCCCAGCGTCTGAGAAAGACACCCTAAGAAGCTCATTGATTACTCCATACAGATTGGACGTAACTATGAAGAATTAGACGCTGAGAAGAAGAAGAGTAATTGGTGGACCCCTAATAAGGAAACCCCAAGAACCTTCAACCCAAGGCAGGCTGGTCCTAGCAAAGACAGTGACACTATGGATGTGGACTCCGGCAAGCAGAGGGGAGCTCCCAAACCCCAAGGAAAGCCTGGCGCTTTCACCTGCTACCGCTGTGGAGAACAAGGCCACATAGCGAGAAACTGTAAAGGTGCGCCAAAAGCGCAAGTCAAAGCGGCTGCAGTTGTCGAAGAAAACTCCGCGCCGAAGTGGTTCACAGATTGGATCGCTTCTAACAAAGGCAAGGATTTTTAAAGGGGTTGAAGTCAAAGTCTGCAGACCTAGACCCGAACAATCGTTTCTCTATTCTTTCTACGTTTCAAGATGTATCAGAAGTACATATTAGATCCAAATCTGAGCATTTTTATATTCCGATAACGTTGAAAGGAAAGAACCGACAAGCAGACGTAAAAGCACTTGTGGATTGCGGTGCATCAACATTATTTATCAGTGAAAAGTTTGTTGAGAAAAACAGTGTGAAATGCCGTAAATTATTAAGGCCTATTTCAGTCAGGAACATTGATGGATCGCTAAATGCCGCTGGATCAATGACTCATTTTGCAGAACTAGGTCTAAAGATTGGTGATCATGAAGAAGAGAAAGCAGCCTTCATGGTTACAGACTTAGGAAGCGATGATGTTATTATCAGCATAGATTGGCTGAGATATCATAATCCAGAGATTGACTGGAATGCAGGACGATTTGCACTTTCTCGATGCCCTGTAAAATGTGAAACAAAAAAAGAAAAAAGACAAAAAAAGAAAGAAAAAAGAAAAGAACAAAAAAAGATAGATGATGTACCTGATCTGATTCCTACGGACGATGAAGACGAGGATGAAGAAGATATGTCGATGAAGAGGGCGACGGTTGAGGAAATAGAAGACGAAGAGAGTCCAGAGAGACTATGGATTCATTATAAAGCCTCGGTTGCCATGGAGCAGAAGGTAGCAGAAGAAGCTACTAAGAAGAAGCAGTCGGTAGAAGAAATGGTACCGGACTGGCTTCATGATTACCTGGGAGTATTCTCAGAAGAAGAATCTAAGCGCTTCCCTGAAAGAAAGAAGTGGGATCATGCGATAGATCTTAAAGATGAGGGCGATCTTCCGCCAAATGCGAAACCTTATCCGTTATCACCCAAAGAGATGGATACATTGAAAGAATGGTTGAAAACCGAGACTGCACTGGGACGTATCAGAAATTCACAATCTCCAGTAGCAGCACCTTTCTTCTTTGTGGCCAAAAAAGATGGCAAGTTAAGACCGGTGATGGACTATAGAAAGCTCAATGAGAAAACGGTGAAAAATGCATATCCGCTACCGAGATCTCAAGATTTAATTGATGCTTTAACCGGTGCCACGATGTACTCCAAGATGGATGTACGATGGGGATACAATAATATTCGCATGAAAGAAGGAGATGAGTGGAAGGCGGCCTTCAAAACGCCGTTTGGTCACCACGAACCGACCGTGATGTATTTTGGACTCACGAACTCGCCTGCAACCTTCCAAACTATGATGAATGAAATTCTGAGAGACCTAATAGATGGCAAAACAGTAGTCGTCTACATTGATGATATAATGGTCTTTACGAATGGAAATAGGGAGCAGCACCGAAAGGTGGTACGAGAAGTCCTGAAACGGTTGAAGGAGAACGACCTGTTCTTGAAGCCTGAGAAATGTAGCTTCGAACAGTCTAAAGTCGAGTTCCTCGGATTGATCGTGGAAGAAGGCAATGTGTCGATGGACCCCGTGAAAGTAGAAGGAGTATTGAAATGGCCTGTTCCCAAATGTGTAAAAGATATCCAAGCATTCATGGGCTTTGCCAACTTCTATCGAAGATTCATACTTGGGTTCTCAGATATAGCCAGACCAATGAATGATCTGCTAAGAAAAGATGTCAAATGGGACTGGACGGAGAAGCAACAGAAAGCTTTTGATGAACTTAAGAAACATTTCACAGAAGCTCCCGTCTTAGTCATGCCAGATGTTGAGAAGAAAAAGAAAATAGAGACCGATGCTTCAGATTACGCAACAGGAGCGGTTCTTTCTCAACTTATGGAAGACGGATTATGGCATCCAGTAGCATATTACTCTAAGTCAATGAATGATGCGGAAAGAAATTACGATATTCATGATAAGGAGTTGTTAGCGATCATTAGAGCGTTGGAGGAGTGGAGGCACTATGTGCAGGGAGCACCTCACCCGGTTGAAATATGGACAGATCATAAGAACCTTGAATATTTCATGACAAGTCAAAAGTTGACCAGAAGGCAAGCTAGATGGAGTCTTTTCCTAGCGGAGTATGGATTTACACTCCAACATAAGCCTGGTGTGGTTAATGACAAAGCAGACCGTCTTTCTCGGAGATCAGACCATAGAGGGGGGGTAGAAAACAATAACTCAGACCGCATCCTTTTGAAACCGGAATTCTTTACAGTAAAAGCTGCTAAAAGAGGTCAAGTTTTGGTGCATGGAGAAAAACATTTACTCCAAAAGATACGAAAATGCACAGAACGAGAGCCTGAAGTCGCTAAAGCGTTAGAAACGTTAAAAGCAGCACCAGTTCAATTGCGTAGAGGAATCGAAGAGTGGAATGTGGAGGATGGATTGGTGTTATTCCGAGGATTAGTTTACGTTCCAAATGATAAAGAGATCCGCCGAGAGATATTAGAGTTGTTTCACGACTCTCCACCGGCTGGACATCCTGGACGAGCTAAGACCTTAGAATTGATTTCCAGAAACTATTGGTGGCCTTCAATGACGAAGTATGTCCACGATTACGTAGATGGTTGTGATAGGTGCAAACAAACGAAAGTGCTTCCGAGTAGACCAACGGGACCTTTACAGCCAAATGAAGTTCCAGAAGGACCTTGGCAGACGATCACCTGTGACCTGATAGTGGATTTGCCGAAGAGTGAAGGATGTGATAGCATTTTTGTAGTCGTTGATCAATTTTCAAAACAAGCACACTTCATTCCCACCACAAAAGATATAGACTCGAAGGGTATTTCCGAGCTATTCTTGAAAAATGTATGGAAACATCACGGAACACCGAAGAAAGTGATCTCAGATAGAGGAACTCAGTTCATATCAAAGTTCATGGGACAAATGTCAAAAAGATTAGGAACAAAATGGTCTGCGTCGACCTCCTATCATCCCAGAACTGATGGACAGACTGAACGCGTAAATCAAGAAGTTGAACAATATTTGCGCATGTTCACATCATACAGACAGAATGATTGGGTATCTTGGCTGCCAATAGCAGAGTTTTCACATAACAATGCAGTCACAGTAACCGGTCATAGTCCGTTTAAAGTCCTCTACGGGTATAACCCAGATTTCACGATTCATCCAAACTCCATGTCCGTAATCCCCGCCGCCAATGAGAGAATTGATCAAATGAAAGAAGCGAGAGATGATGCCGAAAATACTCTGAAAATGGTCAATGAACGTATGAAGCGTTTCTACGACAAAGGAGTAAAAGAAGCACCTCAGTATAAGATAGGAGACAAGGTCTGGCTTGACGCAAAAAATCTCAAACAACGTCGTCCAAGTCAAAAGCTGTCAGATCGTCGTCTAGGTCCCTTCGAAATACTAGAGAAGATCGGTGAAGTGAACTACAAGTTGAAATTACCGGAAAAATATCAGATCCACCCGGTTTTCCATGTAGAATTGCTTACGCCATATCATGCATCTCAATTAATTCCTCATCCTCCCCCAAACTGACCACCTCCAGAATTGATTGACGATCGGGAAGAATTTGCTGTAGAAGAAGTACTAGATAGCCGATTGTTCCGAGGAAAGCTGCAGTACCTAGTGAAATGGGAAGGATACCCGAAGGAAGAGTCATCTTGGGAGCCAGAAGAGAATTTGAAGAACGCTCCAATTCCTTTAGCGGAGTTCCACAAAAAGAATCCCACGGCCGCAGCCGGAAAATACCGAAGAATCAAAGGCTCAGTACTGTTTACGGAAGATTTCAAACGATGGAGAGAAAAGAATATCCGACCTTCATTCGTTCGTGATGACACTCACCTTAGAGAGGGGGTAATGTCACAAGTACCTTTAACAAACCATTATTCTTTCCTGAATCTTCCTAAGCGCCAATACACAGCGTCTAAGTCAAACCCTAACCCTACCCTGAAAGCATCTATCATTCCCGAAATACCTTTAGCGCCCACGACACGTGTCTTCGATGTGACTGATGAAGAAGACGAGTTCTTTGATTGTGAATAGATTAGATAAGATAAGATATGGTCACGTGATGCTTCTTTAATATTCTACGATGTTCTATGGTACAATTCCCTTTCTCTTTTTATGATTGGCTAGTAGTTGTAACTCAGTTTCAATCTCCGTCTCAATAGTTGTATATAGGTAGCATGTCTTGGTCGATAGTTCCTTAGTTCAAACCTCTTGTATCTACAACTGTAGCAATCCAAGACGTACTTGCTCCTCTCTCTAGTCCAATAACCTTAGATCGAGTCCTAGTCTCTGCCCAAGCGTTTATTCGTTATTTGGGTTGTGACACTGCCTCGCCAGCAGTCTATATTCTATCTTCTTATCTGCTCTTCGCGGATAAGCCTATAGTCTCGATCTTTACTCATCGACTTCGTCGACGAGCAAAGCCCCTGTTAACTAGTCGGACTTCTGTCCTTCTAATTAACGACGATCTTACGATTAACCTTCGGGTGTCGTAAGCCTTGGCCGATATAGCTTATCGTCTCACACCCGCTTGACATAAGCTACCCGATTTGGACATAGGCGTCAAATCTTACTTGCTGAAGCCTCGCCAAGTAAGACCCCTAACCTTGGGCTAGCCCAAGGACGTCCTCGACCATTGACGACACACGCTCTGTTTGAGCGTCGCCAACAGATACCATCCAAGTCGTAACACCGCCTGCGAGAACAAGAGGGATTAAATAAACCCTCATACCACTGGTTTTTCTTGAGTTCTGGTTGGCCGTCGAAGAACTGCATGATTCGCTGGAGCAACTCTGCCTTAAGTCCAGTCTCTGGTAATCGCAAGGCCGCAGCTATATCGCATAACTCGTTCACACATATTGTTACTTCCTGCCCTTCAGTAAGTAATTGGAGGTTTTTGTGGGCTTTTGAATGAGGTTTAGTGAGGTTCTGTGCCCGTCGACAAAGAGTATGGTATGAGACTTTAAACTCTGCAGCTGCTGTTCGGAGGTTCTTGGTCTTTTTCTCTCTGATAGCCTGAATAGCAGCAGTGAAGTTGGCTTCGCGAATCTCTTCTTCAGCTTTCTTCTGCCTGGTAGTAGGTCTGCGGTTTGGTGCCATTGTAATAATGCAAGAGATGACAATGCAAGACTTCGTGCACTTGCCGAGTGTGCCGTAGAGGAGATTGAATTTGTTACACACTCTCCTATCTGGCTGTCACATTTTCAGACATGTCGTCAATTCTTCCTCTATAGCATCTTAAAATGACAAGATGAGCTTTATCGAAATTGTGCACTGTAATCCTGATAAGGTGATCATGTTATGCTCTAGGTATAACTTCGTGAATATACCTGCAGGATCTATGGGATCTGGGTGATTTATGTTCTTGCATGCTTACAAATTACCACTTTTTCATCTCTCGCAGCTGCAACACTCAAGAAATTTTCATTTTACTTGGACAGTATATCATATATAAGTAGTCTACATATGCATGAATTTTTTTGAAGTGAGTTGAGCAGTGCTTTGTGGTGTTTTGAACATTTTGCATATTACATGCATGTTGCAGATTACCCGGAATGATAGTAGTCTTTCGAGTTCTCAAGTACACTTTCTATATTTGGACTAGGGTTAGGGTTGGGCTTGGTCAACCTTCAATTTGGCGGTTGCCGGGCCAAAGTAGCGGCGCATAAGTGAACTGCACCATAGATGCTGGCGCGGACGCAGACGGATGGTCGGATGAGGTCGGACGGTCGGATATCCCAGGATCGAGATGTCCTCGTGTCCATATATAGCCTAACGCGTCAAGCGAATTCCAAATTCTGATCACTGTGAGTTGTTACAGGTAAATGTACCTGTTCGTCATGATATTTAGTTCCAAAGGGAACGTTTTCTCCCTTTGTTAATTATTGGTACTAGGACGAACCTTGATGGAACAGTGGTTGTCAACGATTTTTACTCCACTTGGCCAGAAGGTGGGTCGTGGCAGAAGTCTTTGTCTGCCACAAGGCCTTCGAAGCGCTAACTCCATACGTGCATTCAGGCTCTCCGGTTAATCAGAGTCTAACTTGCAGCGATCTAAACAAGTATGTATTCGATCCCCATCGACTTGGGCCATGTATGCATTGAGCTACCGATGGGGCACTGCGGGCGCAAGGTAGCGCATTAAATTAGGTTAGTTTGGACATTCCCCGCATACTCAGGACTCAGGAGTACCGAATGTGTATACTAAACCCTTTGCATTGGACATTAAGCCCACAGCTTTGAGGCCAATCTCGGCACCCAAACGGCGCTAACATAGCTACTTGGCAATAGATAACGCTACGATGACAAGTGTCGAACAACATATTCAGCAGTTCAATATATTATTTTATCATCTTTCTCACCCACAGCAATATACACTCGTTCGTTAAAAATAGGAATGAATTGAGTTGAAAGGGGTTAGTATGTACAAGATACGATTTGACGACTTCCTCTGTGGAGTATAAAACAGACAGCACGAACAACCAAATTGCCAACAACCTCTCCACAAGTAGAATCAGCACATCATCATGTTTATCCCCCTCTCTACTCCTTTCCTAATGCTCCTCGGCCTGACGGCCATTGTCAGCGCTGGAGTGCCAGTAAGCTTCTCCTCGCGTCAAATCTTGTCATGTTGTCATGCAAAATTTGCAGCTCCCTCGCGTGCCTGGCCATGTCGGCAGGGTAAGTCTAGCTTTGCACCAGACCTCACCTTGTTGATCTTACACGACACGCATACACAGTCCGAAGCTTTCACCCAGCTACACGATGCTCGAGTAAGTCTCGTCTCGCACCAAACTTTTCAAACTCACCACGTGATGCATGCAGGCCGAACCTGCCCTAGCCTTGCGTCATGTAAGCATTTTTTCGCCCGACATTTCAAGCTCACCATGTGTCACATGCAGTCTGAGTTCACCCAGCCACCCCATGATCGCGTAAGTCTTGTCTCGCACCGAACTTTCAAACTTACTATGTAATGCGTGTAGGCCGAACCTACCCTAGCCTTGCGTCATGTAAGCATTTTTTTCGCCCGACATTTCAAGCTCACCATGTGTCACATGCAGTCTGAGTTCACCCAGCCACCCCATGATCGCGTAAGTCTTGTCTCGCACCGAACTTTTCAAACTTACCATGTAATGCGTACAGGCCGAACCTACCCAAGCCTTCGCTCGTGTAAGCATTGTGTTCCGCCCGACGCTTCAAACTTACCATGTGTCATATGCAGGGAACCAAGAACCCCGTTGATCGCGTAAGTCTTGTCTCGCACCGAATTTTCAAACTCACCAGGTGATGCATGCAGGCCGAACCTACCAAAGCCTTCGCTCGTGTAAGCATTGTGTTCCGCCCGACGTTTCAAACTCACCATGTGTCATATGCAGGGAACCAAGGACCCCGTTGATCGCGTAAGTCTTGTCCCGCACCGAATTTTTCAAACTCACTAGGTGATGCGTGCAGGCCGAGCCTACCTCAAACAAAGTAGGGAGCGCGTAAGCCTTGTTGTACGCAGGGACTCTGGAACCAAGCCTCGATTCTTAGTAAGACTTGTTCGCATCAAGTCTCATCGTGCTGACTCACGGCGCATTGTACACAGGACAAATACTATATGGAATCGGGCCTGTATGCAGAACCAGTTTAGAAGAATGTCAAACAGAATGAAAGTACACTCACAAGGGTGCAAGGCAAATTTATATATATGTCAGGCGTGTTGTTTATCGTGTCTGAGTCGATACCTCTACCGATCTTGCGTGAAGCTCCGAAGTTCAACAGGGACAAATACCTGCATGTGTAAAAACAGATGCAGCATGATCGCTGAGTATAAGTGGAACCGATGTGAAGTTTAATTCAGCCTGTCCATCCGAATCATGGTAATCCACGTGTTGTCCTTAAACTTCGCTGAATTATTTTGATGGTTAACGGAGCATCTTGAAGTGGCTGAGCAAGGAGTACCAGACACTGAATGTCGGCCTGGCCTGTGCTCGTCAACGAGCGTGGTTGAGCACTGATAAAATGGAAGTCCCTGCAGCATGCACTCTGGATGGGAGGACCGATAGCAATTGCGTCAGCCCTAGGAAATGTGTATCGCGGCGCGAGTTGCGATTATAATAGAGCGCTCGGAAAGCCAGGAGTGCGCTATGCTGCAACATACATAATTTGTGGCCAATAGTGGCGTCTTTTTTGAATCGTTGCCTGCGCATGACAGCGCCGAAGGAAAGAAGGAGAATGAGCGCGGGGCTGGCTTATACAATCGACTGCGTCCAGCCAGTTGAAGGTGAAAGAATCGGCTGCCATTGAGTGAAAGTGACCAGACAAAGCGGTCTAGATAAATTAAACCAAAAGAGCGTTGGTAGTACCAACCAGATCTGGCTACATCGCAATAATTGAGAACAGACAGCCTAGTTTCTCGTTCAACGAGATGCAGTGTCGACAGAAAGAACGCGCATACGAACATCAGCATTTATGATATATATAATATTGCGACGTTGCACCTTTGAGCTAACATGTCGTTGTCACACTCACATTGGCTGGACGCGTTTGTATAAACACAAAAGTGTCTCGTTGCAGTCGAAGAGCTTGAAGGCTATATTAGTAAGCATACAATTAAAAATAGCGCTCCGTTAACATGGCAATTTCAAATGGAGTTGAAATCCTCTTCGTCCCACACGCCCGGCCGTATTCGACGAATTTAATGGAACTACACGTATATGCGAAGCAATCAACTGATGATAATGGACGCCCTTTTGAACACTCCCCCACCACTCAGCGTTTGCAACTCTCCTCCTTGCCATGACTTGCAACGTAGTAAGACTGCCTTGCAAGATGCGGGTAAAATATCTCTCGATGAACCGGGCATTAACCTAATCTACAGTGCTCCATATTTGAAATCGGAGGATTCATTATACCGACCTAAACTATTCAACTTCTGTCCGATTGCTATCTCCAAATAAGATGTTTCCCATAATCAGTCATTCGCTTCATCCATCCTGTCATTCCCGTACCCATCGACCATCTCCCACAATGCACTAGCAAGCTCCTTCACATCATCGCTCTCCAAGTCCATGCTCATAAGCGCACCATCACTCCTCCTCGTCCTTGCAGTCTGTTCTACAAACCTAGCATACCCCATAAGCGGGATCGATGTAGAAGGTGCTGTGACAAGCGATGACACCATCCTCATAGACGTCGGTTTAGTGTGCCGGAATATGGACGGAAAGGATGTCGGCACGGGATAAGAAGGAGCATGGATGCTGACCCCATGACATGAATAAGTTCAGATGCATGCCATACGATTAAGCCTTACCTAGAAATCAGTGGTTCCCGTAGCGATGACAAGTCACACCATGCATCAAATGCTGCCAGGTCTTGGTCTTGCAACCCTCGAGTTACATTTCGCCTCGCAAAAATTGCATGTTCGCCCTAGAATCACTTATTGCTTCATCATGGTTCGCGCAATCAAGGCGTCAACATGATCCTCACCTTGTTCGACAAACCAGTCGAGAAGTTACAGTACAGGTCAGTGAACGTTGCCTCTGTCACAGAACAGGGCAGGGAGACTACGCCTCCCAGTTGTCCCAATCGAGAACATTTTCGCCAGTTCAAGTGGTCAGCCATCGTTGCGATGTCCTCCCGACTACCTTTCAGTCTGTGGCGAATCAGTCGATGAGATGTTTATTGCTTGTCAAAAAGCATAGCATACCTCAGTGGCAGCGTAGCAGTCTCTATCAGCGACGAGATGACTCCAGACGTATGATATAAGCTGTTTTTCTGCAATTTTTCGTCAGAAAAGTATATATAGAGTTTTGCAGGAGACATACATCATAGGCAAGTCCCTGCGATAAGTTACTTTCTAACGCAGACCATCGGGATGGATTTAGTATCGGGAAAGCGATATCCGAGAGCTGATGAAGGCTTTGCAGGCACAATGCGTCGTTGATAATCCTCTTCGTGTCTAGAAACTACTTTCAAATGTTTGTATTCCATCTACGTGAAAGTGTATTTACTCACATTGTCGATTCCAGCATGATTCGGGTCTGCGTCGGAAAGGAAGCTGAAGTTTATTGTAGAAGCCTTAAGAAACTCGTCCCGGAAGGCGGTCAGGAAAGCATGCGAAAAACCCCCGAAGCAGGGCGTATCCTGCATCATTTGCAAGCCCTGAAATGGGTGGGGGTTGACTCAGCGAATAGCCGGAAATGGCATGAAAAGAGTCTACCTGGAAGTTATCGCAGTTCTCGACGAGCAGACGAAACGCCCCTTCCATGAGCTCTGTATCCTGGAGAAATGTTATAAATACCACAAAACAGGTAAAAGAAAGTACTTCGTTATATCGCCGGAAAAGATCTTGACCGACACTCCACCCAGCCTCAGTACTTTCCAGCGCGTCAGGGACGGCCTGTATGGATTTTCGATCGAAGAAAACGCGACTGTAATCTGACCAGTATCTGATGTTTGAATCTGTGCGTTCTGGATCGCCTTCGTCTGTTTCGCCTTCAAGACGAGCGTGATATTCGCTTTGGGGGATCGGATCTTGCGTCTCGCGAACTACCCTCCCTCGCCTGGACGATATCAGTTCATACGACAACGCTTTTATAATCACACTCACCAGGTCGTATCGAGTGAAGCGTCAATAGCTGCATCAGCTTGGCTCGTTTTTGCGAGTGTCCCGAAGTTTGCTGCTCAGATACAGCTCAGACGATGGGATATTAATGCGCCAACGAAGGCATACACTTCTGGTCAAATGTCAACAGGCGTGGACAAAGAGTCGGCTGATTCTTTGTAAAACGCAGAGGTAGATCATATTAAACTCGAAGACTTTGCCGAGTTGGAAATGGTACACATACCTGAGGATTCCGTCCCTCTTCGAACGAAAGGTCGTGGTTCACGATGGGTTCATCGTCATCGTCGTAGGTAAAGTAGCTCTCCTGTGTGTTCCAGAAATGTGTTCCTGCGTAGTTTGCGAATGGGCCTGCTTGGATGTAGATGATCTCTCTCATAGCAAGGTACTAATTTTGAAATGCATGTGAGGTTCTGATCATCACGTCTTCTGGTATTATTCCCACGCTAGAACAAAGCGTGCTGCAATGATCTCACATGATGGTGATCAGCTCAACTCTTAGTCTCTGTCGATAATTCTGCTATCAGGTGAGATTAGCATGTAGTTATCTGTCAACACTGTGCGCCTCATCCCTATCATGATGACCTTCGATGTCCCACAGTCTTACTGCGCCATCTAAACCTCCGCTTGCCACCGGTAGTTCTATGTTGGTCACTTCCTTCGTCTTTCCAAGCTTCACCGACCTGCATTCTATTCTCCAAGTCCCAACTTGAAATTGGAAGTGAGCCATCCCATCTGAATAGGTAATAATAAACTGTCTACTGGGCAGGCACATGACCGATCGGTGTGTTCTTCGATCTTTTGGTAGGGGCACTCTTGTTGATATATCTTGCTTCGCAGGGACGACATGATTTGACTTCTAGAACTTCACCTATTGAGCGCGGGGAAAATCCAACTCTTATCTTCAAAGCAGTACGATTGTTTAACCCCCACATCCTCATTTTCTCTTCAACCTTCGTTCTTGACGTCCTGCACGAGTCCTTCGTCGCCCCATAGCTAAATTGTAATTTGCTATTCTGGTCACATCTTCTTACCCTTCGCCCGCAGTTCCTAACAGCAACCTCACAAAAGACCCTCATCCATCATGCACATTATCGGCGGATTGTTATCACGACGCGTGGCACCTTCATCGTATCATTATTTCGTATCTGTAGAGTTCGTCTCGAATTCACAAATGCAAAACAACGATATCAACAAGGTCAGCCCTATCCTGTCACGGGCAGAGATGGGACCTCTGCGAATATAATTTAGCATTGTGGGGATGATATTGAGGGGTAAGTGTAGATATCATGCCTTCGTGTGTTGCTGATCGTCATATGTACTCCGCAGCATGGGGTGAGCATCATCCATCAAGCTATTAGGATGGTGTAGTGTTTGTTGTTCACCAGTGACTCGCCACCGCACTTTAGAGAAACATTTACGTCGTTTTTTGTTCGTGCTTTTAAAGACCATGTCAAGACTCACCACAACCTTCAAACCGTTTAATTTAAAGTATCACACATTTCCGGGGAATGTCAACAACTAATTTCTCTCGTTCCACTGCAGGTATAATCGATACGCAAATCTAAATGCACGGTGTAAATCGTAGTTCACGGAGATTTACGACTTCTGTGCGTTCTTTATCTTCGACATCTCGACACACGGCTCATTCGTTTGCAAGATAGCCAATACCCCAAGTTCTGTGTCCTATGCGCCTGTCTCGATGTCGGCAAACCTGCGTACATTATCACAGGCTTTTATCTATTAGTGACCGGCAATCAGCCTTTCCTTGACTCTCGACGCCATGCTTCGTTAGCCAAAGCACAACTAAACGATCTTCGACGAGGGTAGACCAGTAAATTCGGTGAGCGGATCCATGCATCAAGATTCAACAACAATGTCACGGTCATGGCGCAGGGGACCGGAATCAAAATGTAGTGTGTATCATCAATTTTCACTCTATAACTTATTTCTTGTTCTGTTCCTAGTTCAGCGTCAGGTTAGCTGTAGGTGTGAATGGTGCCGAACTCTAACTTCAGTTGCTCGGGGTCGACTCGTTAATGGTATCCTTTGATCATCATCCCTGTCACTGATTCCTCGATCGTTTCAGTACTGACAGTTCGTCGAACGCTTAGTTGTGAATTCGCAGGATCGCTGTGGAGGTCTGCTACACTAAATATTTTATGTCAGGGGGACTTCCTGCTTGGTATGATGGGGTGCGAGTTTCGATGAGTTCTTCCCACCGAACATTGATGCTCGCTCATTAGGACTAAGGACAGTTACCTCGCCCGTGTTCAAGTGTTCAACGACCCGGCGTCGGTTATTCGCAGGTGCTTCTATTGTTACAGGATCATTAGGGCAACGAAAAAATGACATGTCGTTAATAACCAGTCGTATCTTGCAAAGAACCTCTGAAATACTCAATCTTAGCGTTATCTGCTTCAAACTTTGCATACACATCAGGAAAACGTAATTTGCTACGAAGTGCTTGGTAGCACCCTGTAACACCCTGTAGCGCGATACTTCCCGCTGATGCATGTATGACTGATGGATATTGGTACTACACACTGTAACATACTTGTGAAATAACCAGGAGGTACTATACGATGACAGAAGAGTGGGTCGTGAAGAATTAGTTATAGATGAAACACAAACGAAACACAGAAGCCAAAGTGTCGCTTGACTAATGGTGACCGTCTGCGTTCTGAACAGATGCGCAGCAAATACAGCCCACAAAACGAGCGCACCATCCGATATCTGTGGCATGAGGACTTCCTGATGCTCCAGCAGTACCAGTAACTGCGGAAAGTGTCGAGGCAGCGGCCGTTGAAGGTGGTGGTTGTGAAGACGAGCTAGGTTGCGTGGTATGAGTATTAGAAGCTCGAGATGAGCTAGCAACTGGCTTCTTCTTTCTTGCATGATAGTTCCTCTGGGCGATGAGGGTCAGCAGCGAGGAAGGACTGTGAAGGAGAAAAAACGCACAGGCTTGCCCGCTGTGTAAGGGACCTCGACCTCTTGCAACTCAATGCCTGATGCATCTCGTCTGCGTAGTATACCAAGATTTCGAGTCCAGCTAAGAGGGTGGGACTGAGGTCGCCCATGGTGGTCAGTTTCCCTGTGCGAATTTGAGTCACGCCATAAGGAGGAAAATCGACTGAGGGCGCGTTGACGTGGTGCTGGAGTTGGGTGGCGATATGGTCCATGGGATTGGGATAGACGAATGCGCTCCTGAGAACACATCAAGTCAAAGCGTTGAATAATAGATGGAGATTACATACATTAGCCTTTCGTATGTCATCGTCAAAGAACCCTGGGGGTATATGAGAAGCACCTTTCTTCTTTACTGCTGGTTGTGGTGGAGCATCAAGCTGAGGGAGCCGTTGTCAGCGTCGTTCGGGATGAAATGTATCTAAGCTTACAATTTCTAATGGAAGGCCAGCCTCTTTGACGATAGCGGAAAGATCCCATCTGTATAGGTAGTCTTCGCAGCTAGTGATAAGGAACTTTCCATCTGCAGAAAAGATAGGCTGAGCACGGTACTCGGAGTCTTCAGCGTGATATAATGTTTTGATAAGTTGATCGGTTTCGAGGTTCCATAGATATGCTGTCTTGCTAAGGTTCCATAAATATGCTGTATTGCTCAGTGCCAGTGGTATACCTGCGAGGATGCGCTCGTTGGGAGATAGTGAAATAGTGCACAATCGTGTGGGCGTCTCAATGACAGCTATTTGTGACCAGGTGGCTGTGTCGAATTTCGTGATTCTGGTTCCGCCGGCGATAAGTGTTTTTTCATTTGAGGTCCATGCCAGGCACGAAAAAAAACCTTCCAATGCTTTGAGCAGTTCGCCTGAGTTAGCATCCCAAATTTTCAGCCCATATACCGCTGTGGCAATCCTCTTGCCATCGGGTGAGTAACAAACCGCCCAAATGTGCTTGTCCCCTGCCCTGATTGGTCCCAGGATAGTTTCTCCGAGTCCGCTCTTGACATCCCACACTCTGAATGTTCCATCTCCGGATCCGATCACCAGTCGCCCTCCATCTGGACTCCAGCACATAGGACGCACTAGCCTTGTGCGCCCCGTCAATGTTTGATGACCTTGCCTGTGCCGACGTCCCACAATTTCACTACGCCACCCCAATCCCCAGTTGCTATTGTCTTGCCGCTCGGCGACAATGCCATGGTCTCCACTCCTGGATTTTTGTCCTCCCATTCCTCGACCTGGGCGCCCGTCTCCAAATCACAGACTCTAAATGTCCCATACCATGAACAGCAGATGACCTGCTGTCCACCGGGCAGGTGTATGATGTGAATGATACTGTCCTTTACTTTGATCTTTCGGTAAGGCATTGTCGCTGAATTCTCGTGCTTTGTAAGAGGTAGATGCGACATGGTTTCGGGATTCACTTGATGAGTACGTCGTAACTTCAGCTCTTACCATCAAATCCCATATGAATCTATCACTCACTCTGAATCTAAATGTAGTACTTGACGTGTACACGGAAACACGAATGCGACACAAAAGGTGCGATGGAGTGGGCGTTTCGTTCGATGAAGATTCAAGTCAGGAGGGGAGTCTTCTACTGGTGCGTCTTCCTCATTTTATCCTCGTGGTCGCTCACAGCATCTCCACTGGCTGTGCAGATTAAGCGCTCGACGATATTATTTCGGACCAAATACGTGCTTCCTTCATCTACATTGCCTTCGACATCATCACCATACTATTCCCCTAAGCCTGCATTGATGTGTACCACTCTGCGGTCTCCGTATCTGTCTCCTTGTGCCACATGTCCGTTGAAAGTCCAACTGGACACTTCTTACCTTCTTCGCAACCCGGCCATCCCGGTCGCAATGTCCTGCTCTTCGTCCAATCAGTTCTTTCCCTCCTTTTCTAGATTTAGTACGTCTACGTACTTCTACGCTCATACCTTTGCAATGCCAAACAAACGTAATGAACAACCTTCCTCCATCACTGTAAAGACCTTGTGCAATCCATCGCCTTGTCTGCTGGCACGTCGTCGTCGCGTGTTTTGTACAGAATGCCTCAAGAGGACGGCGTGCAACATAAAGGAGAGGACGGAATAGGGCAGGGAATGATAGTGATGAAAGTAGAGACCTTTGGCACTCAACGGACCTTCCTGGGGATGTCCAAGTCAGAGTCTGCATGAGGTCAGACTCGCCGATCATTTGGTTTTCTGAGAACCGAAGCACTGCTTGACACTGCACAACAGAACTTCGAAATCCCTTGATGAGCGTCGATGTCTCAGCGTCCACAGGAATTTTGATCCCGGACATGTCATTGGATGGCGGAATACTACCCCAGCAGGTCAACATCAGTGATAAGAGTGGAATCTTGCCTTTGCTGTAGCGTTTTTACCACCGCTGGCCATGGAGCATACACCGGTACAGAGAATCTTCAGTCCCACTTTGGCGGGAGACTTTTGACAAAGTCATGTTCTATCCTCGCCCCTACTAGCCGTCCTCCTTGCATGTGCCATCTGCCCCATCATTTCTGTTTTGGAATTCACTTAATGGGTATGTGATGATTTCAGCTCTTTTCATCAAATGCCGCACGAATTCACCCTTACTCAGAATCCAACTTGTAAACAGAAAGACGAATGTGGAATGAAGGTTGTGGCGACAGAGTGGGTGTGTCGTTCGATCCAGAATCAAACAGGGAAGGTGGCCTTATCCAAGTCATCTAGAAGTTCGATGCTGTACGGATCAAGCGCTCGATCCTCTTTCATAACGATAATCTATATACCTGCATTCACTCGCTCGGCATCATGTCTAGTAGCCCCGCTAATCTGTGAGCATGCATTCCATTTATTTCCACTGGTCCGATATGATCATATGTCAACCTCATGCATCATTTTCGTTGGGTAATCCTACGCTCCCTTCGAACCATTCAATCTAAATATCACAAATTTCCAAGGAATTTTTGATTCCTAATTTTATCTCGTTCCACTGATACCATCGATACGCCAAACTAAACATACAGTGCGAGGGATGTTTCAATCACATTCAGCATGCAAAACTTCTATTTGACTTCGGTGCGTTCTTTGTTTTTGATACCTCAACGCACGGCTTAAGATGGCCAAGGGGACAAGTTCTGTGTCCTACCTCGCCCCTGTCTAGGTGTCGACAAACCTGCGTACATTGACACTGGCTTTTATCTACTACTGACCACAGGCAGCCTTTCCTTGGCTCTCGGTGTGCCACGCTTTGTTATGTTGAACGCTGAACGAGAGTGGGCACGTGGACTCGTACGGTAAGCGGATTGGCATGTCAAGGTGGGAAGAAGTCTTGAACAATGTCATGGCCCAGGAGGCTGGAATCGTAATGTACCTGCGTATAATCAAGTCAGCATCTCTCACTTCAAAGCTTCTGTTCCTAGTATGCAGTCTAGTTAGCTACAGATGTTAGTAGTACCACACCCCAACCTCAACAGTTTCAGTCGCTCGGGATCATTGATATGTTTTGATCATCCCCGTCACTTTATGTTTAGATTATTACAGGTTCATCGGGCAACGAGAGACGTCCATGTCGCAGCGCAAGGTGATGAAGTAGTCTTTTATTGCATAGCACCTCGGAAATACTCGATCCTAGCGTTATCTATTTCAAACTTTGCATACACGTATAATTCAGCACCTGTGGATATTGGTACCCTACCCTACCTACGCACTTGTGGAAGTACAGGACGACGGTGGGAGTTGTGAAGAATTAGCTATAGATGAAACAACAAAAAACACGAACTGAATACAGAAGCCAAAATGTCGCTTGACTAATGGTGACCGTCTGCGTTCTGAACAGATGCGCAGCAATCCAGGCCACGAAACGAGTGGACCATCTGATATTTGTGATATGAGGATGTGAGGGTGTTCCCGTTGCCCCAGTGGTACCAGTGACGGCGGAAAGTGTCGAGGCAGCGGCCGTTGGGGGCGGCTGTTGTGATGACGTGCTAGGTTGTTGCGTGGTATGAGTATTAGAAGGTTGAGATGAGCTGGTAGTTGGCTTCTTCTTTCTTGCATGATGGTTCCTCTGTGCAAAGAGGGTTAGCAGCGAAGAAGAATTGTGAAGGAGAAAAAACGCACAGGCTTTCCCGCTGTGTAGGGGACCTCGACCTCTTGCAACTGGATGTCCAAACCATCTCGTCTGTTTAGTATACTAGACACCAGCTTTCGAGTCCAGCTAAGAGGGTGGGACTGAGGTCGCGTACGGTGTTCAGTTTCCCCGTGCAAATTTGAGTCATGCCATAACGAAGGAAAGCGACTGAAGGTGCGTTGACGTGGTGCTGGCGTGGGGTGGTGATATGGTCCATGGGATTGGGATAGACGAATGTGCTCCTGAGAACATATCAAGCCAAAGGGTTGAATAATAGATGGAGATCACATACATTAGCCTTGCGTATGTCATCGTCAAAGACCCTGGGGGTATATGAGAAGCACCTTTCTTTCTTTACTGCTGGTTGTGGTGGAGCATCAAGCTGAGGGAGCCGTTGTCAGCGTCGTTCGGGATGAAATGTATCTAAACTTACAATATCTACTGGAAGGCCAGCTTCTTTGACGATAGCGGAAACATCCCATGTGTATAGGTGGCCGTCTTCGCAGCTAGTGACAAGGAACTTTCCATCTGCAGAAAAGGTAGGCTGAGCAAAGTTTTCAGGGTGATCTGGTGTTTTCATAAGTTGATCGGTTTCGAGGTTCCATAAATATGCTGTCTTTCCGACCAGTGGTGTACCTGCGAGGATGCGCTCATTGGGAGACAGTGAAATGGCATTAATAATCACTGCGGAAACGAGAAATTGTCTGTATCCAGATAGAGTACAGATAGAGGTATACTATACCAGAACCAGATGTACACAATGTTATCTGCCCAAGTCCAAAAAACGTACGGAAGGTCGCACCATTCGAACCCTAACTGCACTCTAGTCAAGCTCACCTAGCTCATCATCCTCCCTCCTCCGACACGTCACGTGACCTCCCGCCGGCATCCAAAAAAGGCTATGACGGTTTATTTTTTCGTTCTCTCAGTCTCTCTGAGTTGATTCTTGAACGCTATTATGTATTAAGTATATAGTATGTGACAATGGCAATGAATAAAGAGATATATGTACTGTACTAAGCTAGAGGGATTAAGTGGTTGAACGAGCACGATAAAACATTGCGCTGGCGGTCCCTTTTCCCAGGTTGTTGGGCTCCGCGATCGAGACGAGTTTTCTCGTCGTTCACGACTGAGACAATTATCTGCCAGACGGAGAAATGATGAGCCATTGCGTTCGAGAACGGTAAGCATTCTATAGTCATTAAATTGAATTTGATACTCAAGGCCATCACAGAAATCACGGATCTTGACATGTGTGAGCATGCGTTCCTGGAATGTCCTGGTGTCGAGCTGTTGACAGAACGTATCCACAAGGTCATCTTCCGCACCATCACCAACTTCGTCACCTGATTCCATTTCCCCCTCGTTCGCTGGTTCCAGTGGCACAGGAACAGGCATTGCAGCAGTGGCGAGCGGCGACGGACAGGAATCGAGGGGAACGAGCAACAGATGTGTCCAAAATGGTATCGTGCGGTTCCGTTGCACCTCGAGGAAAAAGGTAGGCACTACGGGTGGACACTTTGTACCAGATGCTTACAAACGAGAAACCGAGTTTTAAACAAAATTCGGGCAGGTGCAGACCCAACGATGGGGATCCGGTCGATATTTGGGGTTGAGTGGACCGTGATCGGTGTTGGCTGCATGCAGCCAGTCTCTTTTGAATTCTTTCACCACGACGACAACTCCTGAAATCGGCCAAAATCATTGAGTAGGT